GAGTATTGATGAACTTGTCGGTGCAGTTCCAGACAGCCTGGTGCTGCAGGTTCTGGAGCAGCGTCTGAGCCAAGTGGACTGCAGCTGCAGAGGCTGGATCCTGCACGGCTTCCCCTGCAACCTGCAGCAAGCCAAGGACCTGCAGGAGTCCCAGCACCAGCCCAACAGGTACTACACCACTGCTACTGGTCTACTTCCAGCTGTGTGTCGGAGGCAGCAGTTCCTGGTTTGGACTCCTGAGGTAAACTGGTCCCAGTTGAGGGACCAGTTAGAGAGCTTTAGGATTATGGGATGGTTTTTTTGAGTATTTGATCTCTGAGCGGGACCCTGTGGGGTCAGGTTGGGGGACTGAACCTTAGTTCTCCTGATGGGCAAAACAGTCCATTTTATTCATTTCAAATGAAGTCTACGGCACAATAGATCACCACTGTCTCATTACTGGATGCTTCATGTTGTGCCCACTGGCATCAGCGACATGCAGGAGACCCAGCAGCTGTAACTGTAAAAGCCACTAGTGTCTGAGTGCCAGTACGTCTGCTCTAGCAGCTGCTCTGCTCCACAGACGCACACAGGACATGTAACACTGCTGTATACCTATTCCCTGTGACAGCGCTGCAGCTCCATGCTAACTGTTTTAAATACTTGGGACGCAGCGTCAATGCCTGTGATGAATGACATTGGTGTCGGACGGATGACGACCTGTGAATGCTGCTCTGTTCCTCCCCTCAGAATCTTCTTCCTGGAGCTGACTGATGACGTTTGTCTGGAGAGAATCACTCTGAGAGCTACAGATCCCATCAGCGGACAGAAGTCAGTGCCACCAGTCTCATCGATACAGTACCAGTAGCACCACAGCTGCATCTTTACACACCTGTTCTTTACCACAAACTTTGTTTCAGCTCACAGAACTTCATTTTAAATTCTAGCAAAGATCCCAAAGTCTCAGAGATATCAGATGTGCCCGAGTAAATTTTGGCACAGTGTGACGACAGTGATGCAGCAGGCGGGAAGAATATTTCCATAGAAACACATCTGTGCTCTGAATATTCAGTGGAAATATCCCAGAGAAACACTGGGCAAATAACAGATCGTGGGCCAGATATAGCCCTCTGACAGAAATCTTTGGCCCTGAACAATGAAAGGTTTTCACAGACTTTGCTAACGTTTCATGCCTGTTACAGGTAACTAAGTAAATACAGACTTTAGAATGCTGCTGGTTTTCAGTCTGACAGAACTGGAGCACCATCACCCAACCACAAACAAAACTAGTCCCTGTTTACTGAGTGAGAATAACCTCAGTCACATTTCAGGTCTTGTGCAACTCAAAGCACAGTGTGTGTCCCGAGTTTTTTTATAAGTCTGTTTTACTGTTACAATATTGAGAAGCTGCTTATTAAGAGCAGTGCAACAGATCAAGCTGCTGAATCAGTTGGAGATGTTCCGGTTCCACTGAGCGACAGTTTGTGAGGCCACTGGTGATGTCATTACCTCATTCATCGTCGTTCACATTATTGTTTTATTATTTGTTGATGAAAAATGTAAAACTTTACTTTTGAAGTAGTTTTTGACTATTTTCCTCATGAAACAGGTCAGTGAACCTTGTTCTGCACAGTTTTCCCTGGCGGCCTGACCCTGATCTCCTCCTGCAGGTTTCACGCTGTGACTCGACCGGCTCCGAGCTCTTGGGTCCAGAACAGACTGCAGACCAGACCAGAGGACTGCACCGACACTGTGACCTGCTCTCTGGGCCAGTACAGGACCTGCTCTGCTGCCCTGCAGGTACACACACATTTAGACTTTCTCGGTACACTCATCCTGATTCAGATCTCTAGTGCTCACCGTTCAACCTGGAGCACAAGTTCACAAGAAGCACAGACATTGTGTGTCCATGTCCCCTGTCCCCTCCCACTCTCTGTTCAGGCTGTGTTCCCAGATTCATTTCACATCAACGCTGATCAGGACCCTCACTCTGTGTTTGAGGCTTTGGAGAGCAGACTGACCACTGACTGACCGGAGGACGCACCTGAACACACCTGGGCTGAGAACACACTGTCACCCCTCTATGCCTTCTCAGCTGTTTGTTCTAAAATGTTTTTCGTTTGATCTGTTTGCTCTCTCATGTAGCGTCACACAGTGGATGCAGCACATCCACAGAAATCCTCTTTATGTTCTTCCACACATTCCCCTTTCCTGCCGTAACCTTCTGTGGTCACTTTATTAGGAACACCTAAGTCAGTCTAATCCAACCGTCCTGCAGTACCTCCTCTCTTGATGAAGGTTATAATGTTCAGTTTGTGTTCACATTGTTCCAGAGAGGTGCTGATTCACCTGTGTGTTGTGCTGTGCTGGTTCTGGTGTTTAGCCTCATGGAGTGGAGAAAATAATAAAGTAATAAAACGGTTTGGACACAAAGTGAACATGATCACCTTCATGAAGCAGGATGTACTGCCTCTCTGCTGTGTTCATTCTCCAGGTCAAGGTCTTGGTTCAGACAGTGAGGCCGGGGAAGGTGGAGGGTGCTGTGGGGGTCAGGGGTGCTGTTCATGATCACTGTGCAGCAGTGTGTGGGCAGCATGTGTCTGAAAACCTGTTTTGTTCCCCCTTTTTTATGGAAACATAACATCTGACCCTAAAACACACTCTGATTCAAAAAGAGCTTTTTGTCGTGTGTGTGTGATGAGACGCAGCACTGTCGCCTCAGGCAAACATCAGCACTCACCCTGCTGATGTCGCAGGGTTCAGCTGCTTGCAGCCTTTTCACACAGACACCACATTAAAGACATAATGCTGAAACATTTGTGACAGGCGTCAGTTTCACAGTCGAGGATGATCCGAACGTGAAGTCTTATTATTTTTAAAGTCCCACATTTTCAGACAAGAATAAGACACTGATGTGTTTGGAGACGGATGTCCTGTTTGACAGTCCCAACATGAAGGAGCCGTGGCTCTTGTTGCTTTATATGATACACATGTTTAAAATAAAGCCTGCACAGCCCCAGTTGCCTTGTCTGACTGTGTCTGACTGATGTTTCCACTGTGCCAGAAAGCTATGGACCGGCCTGGGCCAGACTACAGTGCATGACACTAGTGTCACTGTGTCAGATTACAGGACCATGGACTCGTGCACGGAGAGAGGTGCCAGGGCCTGGGAACATGAATGTCAGCACATGCCAGCATCTGCAGCTGTGTGCACAATACTCATTGTCATGTGTTCAGACAAGCATAAACACCTTAAAAAACGACTGAGGACATGTCTGTGCGCCGCACAAAGGGGGCGACGTGGGCTGTCTCTCCTTCACAGAGAAGAGATGCAGTGACATTAGGTACAGAGGTACCAGAGGGTTTAGACCTGGTCCAAAAAGGACACTGAGCTCAGTCAGACCCAGTCCAATGATCATAAAACCTAAGAGAGACAAGCAGAAAGTTTAAATTGGTTTAAAAGAGTCCTGAGACCAGTAAGAAGACCCAGTGCAACAGTCCAGTGGAGACCTTAGCTCTGGACCCAGTCCAGCCACACCAGACCAATAAAGTGAATTTAAGTGGCCTGGCCCAACTCAGGTCCTGGATCAGATCTTGGTTACTAGGACCTGACTGGACATGTGAAGACCTCTACTCTAGAGTTATTTCTGAACAACTGGGACCAGCAGAGTGAGGCCCTCAGACAACCAGGAAGTGGTGCCTGTTGACCTTCAAAACCTTGCTCAGAGGAGAAGATGAACCAGACCAGTAGAGTCCACCCTCAGGAGAAGATGAACCAGACCGGTAGAGTCCACCTTCGGGAGAAGATGAACCGGACCAGTAGAGTCTACCCTCGGGAGAAAATGAACCAGACCAGCAGAGTCCACCCTGGGGCCCTCAGACTCTGCAGGAGTTGAGGAGGAACTGTCCATCAGCAGCTATCACGTGTCATTCCCTTCTTGCTCCACTTCCTGGTGTCGACAGGAAGACTTAAAATAGAGCTGTCGATCAGAGCGGCAGCCTGGCACCGCTGGGACCAGAATCAGCGCTCAGGAGGATTAATTATAGTCATTTACCAAAATCCTCACTTTGAAACGTCTGTGTGATTGAGCTGTTGGTGGAAATGACGGCTGAAGAGTTTTGAAGCATTTGAACATGAGGGTTTGAAGTAAACACTGCGTCCTAAATGGTGATAACTGCTTTTAGATCAGAGGAGCCGCTGAGACGCCTGACAGCGAAACATCAGCTGCTGCCACTCACACGGCCCGCATTCACTTCGTTAGGCTGTTGTTAATAAAATCACCGAAAACACTTTTGCTTCTTATGTCTGTATGACTGTCCGTCATTTGTCTGTGTAACAACAGCGCAGTTTCCACCAGGTTACATCAGAAATGCCTCAGCATGAAGACTCAGGGACGGAAGAGGCAGCGCAGCATGTCTCCAGGTTCATCTGTGTTCTGATTCAGTGTTGGACCGAGGGCTCATCGCTGGCTCGGATTTATCGTTAGAGGACAAAAATACAGAGACCAACTTCCCTGAAATCAGTAATATATACATTTCATCAAAAACTGAAATATGAGAACAGTGGTTGACACTCCTGCGATGGATTGGCGACCTGTCCAGTGTATACCCCGCCTTCGCCCGATTGCCGGCCGGGATTGGCTCCGGCCCCGCAACCCCGTTCAGGGACTAAGCGGTAGAAAATGAATGAATGAATGGTTGACACCCTGATCCTTTACTGCAGTAAAGGTGGTAATACCAAAGTGTACAAATACTCTGTTACATGTAAAAGTCCTGCATTCAAAATGTTACTGAAGTAAAAGTATCAGCATCCATATACCTTCAGTACCATCAGTACCAGTACTCGTCCTGCAGAACAGCCCATGTCCCAGTAATATCTCTGATACTGGATCATAGTGACTAATTACTGTGTCCATCACTTTAATGCTGCAGCTGGTAAAGGTGGAGCTGATGGTAACTACCTTATATACTTATACTGTGAAGTACTTTCCATCCTGCTGGGTAGCTGGTGGATTTCCCACTGGGATCAATAGAGTCTGATGATTACGGTGATTATTGTTACTACTTTACTTATAAGCAAAGTATATTCTTCCAAAATAAAATGTGAAGCTACTGCGCATGTCCATAAGATCAACCGTGAGGGAGGTGTGACTTCAGTGACGTAGCAGGAAGCGTTCCTCACGCGTGTTGATGTGTTGGGTGAGTTTCTCAATGAGTTTTTATTTTTGTGATTTTCTGCCTTTTCCTCGTTATTCATTATACGATTAAGCTGCAGACTGACCGGAAGCAGCTGCTGTTAGCACGACGAGGCTAGTGTTAGCTGCTGTGCTACCACGGACCCCGAGCCGTGAACACGTGTGTGTGTTTGTAGCTGGTGGTACTGTGGAGTTACGTTAACAACAAAATAGTCTCAGGACAGGACAGTCTACAGGACATAGAGCTAACAGGCTAGCTGTAGCCGACACCAGGTCGGTCTTAATCCTTCTCTACCTGTCAGACCGTGAAACGCGGGTTCTAAAACAACCTTTTAAGCGTTTATCTATTTAACATGAGCCCCTCCTCAGTTCGGCGAAAGTCAAATTATTCAGATAACTTTATTTGTTATAAATGTGCATTTTTTTTCCATGTTATTGCTTCGTTCCTGTTGTTATACGTAAAGAAATATTGAGATGATAAGCTCCAACATGCAGCTTAACGTTTAGTAGCGTAAACGCAGGTCAGTCCGTGTGGCGCCATTTTGAACCGGCACATAGGGACTACTGTTTGTCATGTGAAGGTGCTTTAGTAAGTGAGCTTTGCTACTTTCCTCTGCAAACTGCAGTCTAATATTTGCATCATATGCGCGGTGACAGTGAAACCACGTTTTCATGTGCACTAGAAACCGAGCTTTAAGTGTAGTCCTGGTTTTGGTCACATGCAACATGAGAGCTACTTATACCTCCTCCTATATGACTCTAACACCTGAATCAGGTGTTTACCATCCACAGCGCCCTGGTTTCTGTCAGAGGTCCTCAGGTTTCTGAAACCAGGATATGATGTGTACCTGCACAAGAGTTGCTGGCTAGATCACACACAGGCTGAATGTTTCCAAGCATGAGTGTTTTAGGCTGTATCATGCTGACAAGTAACTTTGCAGCTTATTGAAAGAAGTTTGGCACGAGAGAGCGTTCAAGCTAATAAATTCAGTTAAATAACTTCTCAGTCTGTGTTTGCTCCTGTACAAACACCGCTCACACCTGTCTGTGTATGTGGACCAGGTGTGTTGATGATGTCATCAGCAGAGGACCAGCTGTGTCTGAACATCAGCAGCAGTTGGTCTTCACCTTCATCACTGAGGAAGAAGCGTCTGACTGCGCAGCAGAGATGGGCCAGAGTGAGCATCAGCACATACGTGACATGTGAACCAGATGTGATTCCTGCACGAAACTCACTTGTCCTGGTTGACGTCATTCAGTACAGGATTTTCACAATAAGAGCTGCTTTTCTCAGCCAAGTACAATGATGATTCTGTGATTTCCAGAAGAAACAACAAGCAGAGAAGAGGAGGTGCAGTTCCTCAGAGGAGGAGAGGGGACACTTCTCCAAACACAGGAGGTTGCAGCGCTCTGCTGCACCTGAGCAGGAGGTGCACGTACAGGCCAAAGCTCCGCCTCCTCCTCCTGCAGCAGATTCAGATGTGAGTCAAAACTCTGCACGACCTGGTCAGCAATCAGGAATTCTGCACATTGGACAGAATGCAGGTACCTGTGGGTGATCAACAATTGTAGTGATTATTATTAATAATCATTCTCTGTTCAGTTTCCACCTGCTGACGTGGATGACAGGAAACCAAAGAAGAAGAAAGAGCAGGATGGAGGGAAGGAAACAGGAAGGAGCAGCATTAAGACTTCCTCCCTGTTCAAACACAACCCAGATATACCCGAGATCCACAGGTACGCTGCTCCTTCTCTGGTTCTGATTGGTTGATGTGGCTGTTACAGTTTCCAACCAGTTGTCTTACTTATTGATCGATGAGATTGAATCTTTCCTCCTCCTCCTTTCAGACCAGTTGTTTCCCAGGTGAAGGAGAAGATCTTCACCTGTGATTTGTTCTCAGACCTCCACCTGCACCCACATCTGGTAACACATTTTGCTTCTGCACTTGTGAGGACCTTCACTGACCAGTTCAGCTGGAACTCATTAGGTTTGAGGGTTAGATTTGGTCCAGTGTCAATAGCTGGCGTGGTCAGTAACTCCAGGCTTTAGACTCAGTTTCCGTTTGAGATGAGCTGCTGGAACACTTCAGTTTTTAAACAGTGATGGAGTTGCCTGAATAATTTTGACAACCTGCAGCTCCAGTGTGAAAATGAGCCAATGTCGCTCACTGAAACAAGAGCAAACAGCCAGAAGCTGCTAACGTTAGCTGTTTGCTACAGAGCTGTATTTTGATTGGCTGGTTTCTGTCCACCAGGTGGCGACACTAAACAAAGTCCTCAATGTTTCCACTCTGACTAGGTGAGTCTACGCACACACACACCTGTTTCCATCAGATAAAGGGTCATTTCACTGATTTACATGAACACATTCCCTTTGTGAAACTTACTGCTGGTGTCTGAAATGACCACGGTGCCACTGGCAGATTTCCAGTTGCAGGTTCAGGCCCACTTTAAATAAACCAGTGCAGATGACCTGACAACAGTTTATGTCCAGTAGAAATAACTTTGTTGATGGAGCAGCTTGAATTCACATTAGCAGCGTAGGAGACTGAATGCCAGCAGGGCTGTTTGCTGTAGAGCCGAAGGCCTGTTGCTTTCCTGAGAACTGATTCTATCCTGCTCGGTGCATGTACACCTTCTCCTTTCTCCTACATCTACTCTGTAGATGGGTCTCCTGACAGGAACTCCACAAATGTTAGACTTCAGAAAAGGACAGCGCTCTACTTAAGAGACATAGCAGTGTCCTGTATTTTAGCTGGGTGTCCCTGACCCAGCCTTCAGGAGGTCTGTGACCATACCTCCAGAAAACAGCCTGTTTCCAGCTGTGAGCTTTTCCTTGATGACGCCTGTTTCCCTGGTCCACTGTCCAGGTTGCAGCTGCAGCCACAGGATTGTTAACTTTTTCTAGCTGCAGTCAAAAAGATGTTTTGCTTCTGTTTTACTTCACTGTGTCTTCCTCTGTTTTCCTGGTCAGTGATTTCTGATACCACAGGGGGCATTTTTCTGAGCTCAAATTACATGTTGAAGATGTACAGTCATGACTTGTACAGTGGCAGTGGTTTTCTACATGATTTGGTATAGGGATGTACACCGCTAACTGACAGTATGAATTCCAACTGGTTAATACTATCAGTTTAACGGTTATGGGTTTTTTTTAATAGGCTTTAGGGTTAGGGTTAGCACATGACTGGATAGGGGGGTGGTGACAAAGATCTCCACCGAAAGAGACCCATGCTCCCCCAGAAGCAAAAAAAATTAAATAGAATCATATAAACGGTGATCATATTCAATTTGGTTACATCATAAAAGAAGGTAAATACAAATTACCGTCTCTTTCGGACCCACACTTCTCCCCCCAGGGCACAGAATTCACAGTTCTAAGGTTTACTTCCATGGTTAAGGTCTTTGCAGTACCTGCAGTTTTCAGGGAAATACACACAGAGTGGCCCATTTTACTCTGAGCAACACTTTATGGCCAGCATCGAATACGCCATCACACACCCCCAAAGTAATGCGAGCTGCCTCCGGTCAGCAGCACACACAGGCTGTTTGAGTCCGGTCTGCTCCACGAGTGTGATGTGATGGTGTATGTGGTTCTGTTCATGTTCTGTTGTTGTTTATTCTGAATTTGCATGTGTAAAATTAAACAGCTTATGGAAAAAAGAGGTTTTTTTTAATGGGTCACAGACACTCATCCATTCTGAATAGCCTAGCATTTTAATCTTGTCGGTTAACAATGGTCAGCTATCAGTCAGAAACAAAACTGACAATGTTCATCCCTCATTTGGTCACATGTGAGCTGATATTCATCTAAGTCACAAATACAAACACAATGTGCTTAAGCCAATACCACAGAAGCCATTCTAATTGTTCATGTTCTTACCGAACCCAAGCAGCCACGTCATGGCGCCTCTTCACTGTGCTTCACCACTGGCATGATGTTTCCATGTTGGTGCGAGACATGACAGCATCGTGTTTCACAGAGAGTTGAGGCTTGACCCTCCACAATGCTGGGAAAATGTTGTGAACTGATGAAACGAAGGTAGAGCCATCTGGGAAGAACGCACAGTGCTACGTATGGCGAACAAAGAGAACCGTGTGCCAACATGAAAACACCATCCCAACTGTGAAGTCCAGTAGAGGAGCATCATGATGTGGGGCTGCCCTGCTGCCTCTGGACCAGCAGAGCTGATGTGGACTGAGCTCAGAGAGCCGATCACACCAGGTGGACTGAGCTCGGAGAGCCGATCACACCAAGCGTCCTGGGAATATGGCTTCCTCTGTGAGGAAGAATGCTCCAGAGTTCCTTCTGAAGGTTGTGCAGGTCTGATCCACAGCTACAGGAAGCAGCTGTTTGGGGTTAACGCTGCCAAAGGAGCTTCAATCAGTTACTAAATCCAAGGATTCACTTGGTTCTTCCACCAGTACTTTGAATGTTTAATGGCTGGGTTCACTAAAGACAAGAAGAAATAGAATTAGCTTCCACATGTTGTGTTTGTCAATGCTGGTGACTTAGATGAAGATCGGGTCATGTTTTGTGACCAGATCATGTAGAAATCCAGGTCCCAGACTGTTTCTTGCCCCTGTGTTTTGGAAGCTGACCCCAGTCTAATGAGCAGCTAAAAGACGTGTGATGGCAGGATTCAAACTTGGGCACACAGCGAAACAGGCATCATGGTGACACAGAAGATGTCTCGTCTGAGCTGTTAAACTTTGAAAATGAACGATATCTAGTACATGTCAAAGACCCAGAGGTTTTCAGTGAGAAGAGACACAGTTGATATGTTTTAAGGTTTAAAGAGCTAACTGGAGTTTTCGGGATGATTATTTTTCATGAATGACTGGAGGGACCTTTAATAAAGATGTACAAGATGTAAACCAGCAACTTCCTACTTTGCTTCCATGTTAAATCTGTGTGTTCAGTGTTCAGAAACAGACCATCCCAGCACTTCTGGCCGGGCGAGACGCCGTTGTCCGATCTCAGACGGGATCAGGTGAGACGCTTTGAACACGTGAATTAAATCCTACTGTACTGAGGTTCCTAACCAGCTGTCTCTCGTCACCCACCTATGATCCTGGGTCATTTCATCAGATCAGACACACACAAGCAGTGTCAGGCTTTGTCCACATCCCATCTGAAGTTTCCCAGACCTGGTGTTCCCACAGGAGTGTGTGTCGATAGGCTTTGGAGTAACACTGTGGATTATAATCAAAGAAGAACAGTCGCTGATGGTCGAATGTGTCTCTCTGCAGGTAAAACTCTGTCCTACGCCATCCCCCTTGTCCAGAGTCTTCAGTCGGTCCGGCCGAAGGTCTGCAGGGCTGATGGTCCTCTGGCTGTCATCGTCGTCCCCACCAGAGAGGTGCAGCCTGATAACAGACTTGTTCTTTCTCAGTGCATATGTTTCTGCCTTTTTTTTTTTTTTTTTTTTTTTTATTCCAGTCTTCTGCTAATGCATAAACAAGCTGTGTAAGAATCCATCAACATGCATTAAGGGAACTGACATGTACCCTGAGATGCTCCACGGCGGTTGGAGTGGATTCCCAGTCTGGGCACTGAGATGCACCTGCAGCTGTCAGTGCTGCAGAGCTGAGACAGAGCGTCAATGTCCTGGCTCTGGATGAACCTCTGTTCCACCTATGACCCTGTTCATGTTGCTGACTGAAGCTGCTTCACTTCCTGTTTACATTCTGACCTTTCACATGTCTGTGTGTCCATCAGCTCGCCCAGCAGGCCTTCCACACCTTCCAGAAGCTTCTCAAGGTAACAGATCAGCACAGCTCACCAGTCCTGTTCCGATTACTGACATGGACAGGCTTTATTCCTGACCTTGGAACGTTTGTTTACAACTTGTATAGCAAGCTCCACTTACTTGGTCTTGCTGTGGAGCCTTTAGCCATGTGTCATGGAGTTGCCTAGTTCTTGTGGGGATGGTTGAACTGAAAGCTCCAGAAAAAGACCATTATTATCCAGGTGTTTCCTGGCCGGTCGCTGAACACATCCTGCAGCTGCTCCGCTGGACAAAAACAACTGTGCAGCAGCTGACTGTGGTGTTTCTTTCTCTGGGTAGCCATTTACCTGGATCGTCCCAGGTGTTCTGATGGGAGGAGAGAAGAGGAAAGCAGAGAAGGCCAGGTACATCCCTTCCTTTTCCTCACCTCCTCCACTCTTTCTCCTCTTCTTGCTTCCTTCTCCTCCTTCTGCCCTGTTCTCAAATACTGCTAGTGGTTCTCAAGGTCCTTGAGGAGAATCCAGGAGTCCATGAGGGTATGGGTACCTTGAGAAGGTTCATGGAGTACCTGCGGACATTTGAATTGGCCTAGAGACCGGTTACATAAGTTATTTTAGAAGTGGTATGCGTCTCCAGGAAGTTCCAGGGGTCCCTGTAGAAATTCTGGGGTCCTTGTGAAGGCCTTGGGGAGTTAAAGGAGTCTGAGTAGTTTCCAGGAGTCCTGGAAGGTGGTGTATAGATGTTGTTGTTCCACAACACAAATACATAATTACCTACACCCTGGAGACTGCAGAGTTCCCTAGAGTCGTAGTCTGAACAGTCATGAAGTCCCGACAGTGGTGCTAGAGGGAAGGGGCCACACCCCACCGCTAAAGAGCTGAACATGTCCTGTTTTAACTGTTGCATTTCACAGCCTTTCCTAGTCCACGAGAGCAGTAGGTTAAGATTAAGAGCAAAACAATTCAGAATAAAACATTTCTGCCTGGTGCACCAGAGCAAGGAGTGCAGCTGTTCACCGAGTGGATCGTTGCATTTCCATCCCCCAGCGCTCTGACTGACTTCCCCTGCTGTCAATAATGCCTGTGAAATGATTGATTGGGATGTGCACATCTTATTATCCCTGGCTCATGAGCTGCTTCTTGGTCATTTTGTGTGACTTTTGTGCGTAGATTTGATGTTAAGTCAGCGAATTTCAGGACCTCCTCAGCTCACAGTAACACATTGACAGATGAATAAAATGGATTTAAATTCCTACATTTTAACAAGCAGTGAATTGTGACAAATCAGCCTGTAGAATTAAATTTGGTTTGGTTTTAATGAAAGTAATTTTCTGGAACATGTGGCCTATAGATTTTATTTTGGACCAACTGAGAAACCAACAGATACTGACATACTGCCAAACTCTGAGCCAGACTGTAAACAGATGGTTATTGTATTGGACCCAGGAGTCCTTGAGGTGGTTCAAGGGGTCCTTGACAAGGATGTAAAGATTGTAATTTTTTTTCTTTCAGGCTCCGTAAAGGAATCAACATCCTGGTTTCAACCCCTGGACGTCTGGTGGATCATATCAAACACACTCTGAGCATCACATTCAGTGCCGTCCGCTGGCTGATCCTGGATGAGGCTGATCGGTAACTCTCACAATGTTCAGTCATCATGTTAAGTCAAGTCAAAGTGTTTATTTGTCATATGCACAGTTAGGAAACATGTGTCCCTGTACAATGAAATTCTTACTTTGCTGTCCACATGAATGCCACATAATACAAATGAAATATAAAGTAGATAAATAAGTAACA